TAAGGCGGAGGGGGAGAGACCGATGAGGAGGACTGGGTAGGAAGCGGCTCAGATTCTGACAGCGAGTTCGAGGATGATCACCCATCCCCAGGAAAACGCAGACGTATCAGTGACCCATCAGACAATAGTAAAACTTTAGTTCAAGCACTGCCAACACCTCTGCCGGTCCACTCAGTGGCCCCAAGCGCCAAACCAGAGCCGTAGTCTGCTATAATCACACACAGGTTGGTGTGGATGTGTCGGATCAGACGCGAAGGAGGCCTGTGGCTGTAATTTATGATCTCCTGGAAATATCAGCTATAAACGTATTTGTTTTGTTCAGAAGCTGTTTGAATGTCACTTTTTCACACAGAGATTTTATCCTTGAACTGGTAAAACAGTTGCGGGCAAACCGCAGGTTTCCAGCCCCTCCATCACTGAAGAGCAGCTTTGGTGAGGCACAGAAAACAGCAGCAGGAGCTTCAGCGCTGCACAAAAAATGCTCATATTACGTTTGTCATTAATGTTAAAAGGTGGTCTGTGGGAAATGTTTGGGGGGAATCAATAAATTTATCTAAATAAAATTGTAGTTTTAAACTTTGAGCCTGTGTAGTAAAACAGTCTTACTCTACAGATTTATTTTTAATACAAATTTAGAACACAAATAATAATAGCATACAATACAGCCTTTTAAAAATATATATTAGACCTGTTTTAAGATTTACATATCCAAAATGGGTTTATATTGTATGGAGGACCAACTCTGCCATATTTAAAAATAAATACAGAAATGAATAAATGCTCAATAAATATATAAGCATACAAAGTAGAAGGGACCGCTGGCTATGATCCCGATTTTTTGTTGTATTTGGCAAAGTCCCTACTCCCGTTCTAATGACTTCAGTGTTGACTTCAGACTCTCCTCATGTAGATTCGACTGATGTGGTAAAATGCTAACCAACACGCTTCACACACGGCTATGCCGAGACAGGGCCGCTGCAGACGGGCTGCCATTAGCTTCGGAGCTCAGCTGGTTGCTGCTGTCCTCTCAAGTTCGGAACATTTTCTTTTAAATTACGCATTAAATCTGTGAATGGGCAATATGGAGATGCTTAAAAGTATAATGTTCTCGCCTCAAATAATCTTAAAACATACTTTTATTGAACAACAGCAACAGAAAAGAGAACATTTAATGTAATACTCTGAGCTCTTTAAGTCAAGAAGATGGGCCGCCAACTGATGAGCAGAAGTTGACTCTAAAGGACACACCCCCTCCTCATTTGCATAATGAGGCGTAAATGCATACAGAAATGTAAAAAGTGCAGGCAGAAATAAATAGCGGTGAAGAAATAACTAAGGTAAAAAAATACAAAGGAAGAATAAAACAGACAAAAATAATATAACATGCACATAAATAAATACTTAAAAATGTAAGTGATTAAAAAATAAAGTTGATTAGAAGAAGATTATAAAGGACAAAAAATAAATAAGGTAAATATTACAAAGGCAAATAAATTAAGAAGCTAATTTAAATAGTTTTATACATAAATTTATCACTGNTGCTCTCAAAATCCAAAACTGTTCTCTCGTTTGCACTAAAGTGTCTCGCACCCCTGCATGCATTACCTTCTCATGTTGATAATGTACCAGCATTTCGGTATATCTGTGATCGCTGGGCAAAATCCATGGGTGTTTTTCTCTGTAAGAGAAGTCGGAATGCTGGAGCCTTCCTCCTACACTGAGCAGCTCATCTTGGTCCAGAAAGGGTTTCAGCTGTCGGATTCTGGAGTCTGCATGTGTGCATTTTCCTGTTTTGAGCGATTGAATTTCGGAGCTGAAACTCTGGTTCTGAATAACCTTTATCCAATATTTTCCTGCTTCATGCAGCTCTTCTGCTGTCAGTTCACCACTCATTTTTGTAGTTGAGCGGGCGTTAGCGATAAACCTTTTCATCCAAGCCGTCACTCGGAGCACGGTTTTCAGTCTACTGTACTTCTCTAGACACAAAGGAGGTTTTAAGAAATTTGTGTCTTGATTAACAAGCTGTACAACAAGCTGATATTTGGATCTCAGCTCAGACTTTACCTCATCTTCCTGAATGTCTTCCTGACTGCTCTCTAACTGATCAGGTGATATCAAAGCACAAGGACCATTCCACCACAGTGTGCTCTGCTTCAAGTCCTGTACTGTTAGACCTCTAGTGGGAAGGTCAGCTGGATTTGTTTTTCCCTTACAGTGAGACCATGACTGTGGATCTGTTAGAGTCTGAATTTCTGTCACTCGATTTGCTACAAACTGTTTCCACTTGTGAGCAGAACTGCGAATCCAGTGTAGCACTATCATTGAGTCTGTCCATAGTCTCACCTGGGCCTTGTCAAGCCGCAGTGTTTCCTTGAGGGTGCTCCCCAGCCTGGCTGCTATTACAGCTCCCATCAGCTCCAGCCGTGGCAACGTCATTCTTTTCAGTGGAGCCACTCTGGACTTGGATGCAACGAGGCTTGTGGTCACTTTTCCGTCACTCATTTCTCCCTGAAGATAAGCAACTGCACTGTAAGCCCTTTCACTTGCATCACAAAACACATGCAGCTTTAGATCCTGACCATTTGGCTGTTGTGTGTGTGTTCTATACCAACGTGGGATTGACAGCTGGTGCAGTTGAGGGAGCTCCGAACACCACTGTTGCCACTTCTTAGTCAAATCGGGCGGCAGCTCCTCATCCCATCTGAGTCCCCTCTCCCACATCTCTTGGAATAAACATTTTATCCTGATTGTGAAAGGGGTCAAGAATCCAAGAGGGTCAAAAATGCGAGCGGAAGACTGCAGAACACTTCTTTTAGTGTTTTCTCTCACCTTCAGAATGTCAAGCAGCCCTCTGAGGTCGAACACAAAATCATCAGTGGCAGGTCTCCACACCAGGCCTAGAACCTTCAGGACCGACCCGTGTGTTTCTGGCTGTGCAGTGCAATCCAACGAGATCTCCTGCCATTTTTCTCTAAGCTCAGGAGAGTTCGTCATCCATTTACACAGCTCCATGCCTGCCGCAGACATAATATTTTTGACTGTTGTTGTCACTGCCTGAGCTTCTGCCACCTCCTTTGCACTTGAGATAAAGTCATCGACATAAAGTGAGGAACGGACAATGTCTATCACTTCTGGGTGTTTACCCTCATATTGTCTCAGGTGCTTCCTAATGGTGGCAGCCAGTAAAAATGGGCTGGATGAAGCTCCAAACACCACTCTTGTCATCCTGAGGACACGCAGATTATCCTCCGTTGGTGGGTCTGTGAACCACAGAAATCTTACAGAGTCCCTGTCTACTTCTGAGAGTGAAATCTGTAAAAATGCCTTCTTAATGTCTGCCATGTATGCAATTTCATGCAGTCTAAACTTGATCAAAACACTCATTGGATCTGGATTCAAATTGGGACCTGTTAAGAGACAGTCATTTAGTGAGGGACTGCCATCTTCGTGGGAGGAAGCATCAAAGACAACTCGCAATTTCGTTGTCACCTTATCCTCCCTCAGTACAGCATGGTGAGGTAAGTAGTAAATCCGACTGCTTGGTGGTGGTGTACACTCCTTAGGGACATCTTCAGCCATTCCTTGTGTTAAGTAGTCCTCCACCACATCATTGTATCTGCTGTAGAGCGTAACATCCCTTTGTAGTTTCCTTTTCAAACTCTCAAGACGCCTTTTTGCAACGCGGTAATTGTCTTGAAGTGGAGGATGAGTCTGTCGCCATGGCAACTCCACTTGATAACGCCAATCCTTAAAGATGGAGGTTTCTTCAAACCGCTGCAATGCTTCCACATCATCTGGATTCTCAGATTTCTCGCTTGTGATACCCAGGGACTCAAGCTCCCAAAATGCATGCAGCTGTTTGTCCATCTGTGCATCCTTGCTGAGCTGAATATGCATGCATGTTGTCTCTGTTATGCTGGACATGGCCACTGGGCCCTGTACTGCCCATCCAAAGGTGCTCTCAAGTGCCACCAGGCTCTCTGTCAGTCTTTCTACTCGGCCTGATACAATCTGCCAGTAGTAATCTGAGCCAATTAGCACAGAAAGTTCAGTTTCATCACCTCCACCAGCGAAGTCTGCGAGTTGAAGCCCTTTTCTTCTCATTTCGTTCTGAATGTGTTCACCAGGAACTTTCATCAATGCTGTACACACATTGGGGGTCACAACTGCTTCTATTTCAATTCTTTGCTGTCCATCCCAAACATTTTCCAAGCTGAGCTTCACTATGTTACGCTTCACCATTGTGGGAGCAGAGGAGCCAAATGTGTGGAGGGTAAGCGTCCCTTGTCTGGTAATAGGTAGCTGCAGCGCCCTCACCACATTTTCATGCACAAAGCTTCCCTGGATGCCTCCATCCAGCAAGCAGCGAACAATCTTCCTGCTTGTGGGACCTACCACCCATGCCTTGGCGGTTTGTAGCAGCACAGTGTTCTCAGTTTCAGTTTTGCCCCTTTTTGTTTGGGGAATTACAGAAGAAATGACAGTGTCCATGTTGGCAGAAACAACAGGCGGGGAAGCATAATTTTTCTCACAGATGGCCACATGATGCCTGCCTCCACATGTGGCACATGACATGCCCTTTAACCTGCAGAACCTTGCAATGTGTTTGGGTCCCAAACAGATAAAACACCTGCCAAGTTTCTTCAGCCTTTCTTTACGTGCTGCCACCTGGTGGTCTGGGCAGCTTTCAGATTTGTGTTCAGCACGCTCACAGAACAGGCAGTTTTGTGTCTTCTCATTGGCAGCGTGTAGTGTAGCTGCAGATGTTATGCTTGGTTTCATTAGTTTCACATCACAGGTTGAATATGATTTGCTGCATGTTTTGTGAGCAGACTGGTATGCTCTGGTTGTATGATCTGGTCATTTGTAAAGCTCTCTCTCGGCTGTTTACCTCTCTCTGCAGAAACTTTAGCACATCTGGCACCTTCCACTCATCCTGTTCTCCTCTCTGTCGGCTGTATTCAAGAGCCATGTCCTCTGGCAGCATTTGGAGGATTATTGGACATAACATGCCTCCATACGTGTCTGATACTACTCCCAGTGACTCTAGGCTTCTGATTTGAATTTCACAGTCATCATATAACTGCCTCAGCGCACTGACATCGGATGACTTCTTTACAGGAGTGAGATTCAAAAGTTTTGACATGTGGGCATTTACAATAAGATCCTTCCTTCCGAATCTGCTTGGAAGTATATCAACTGCAGCATTATAGTTACTGTCTGTCAGTGTGAGCCCTGCTACTGCCTTTGCAGCCGTTCCAGTGAGGTAAGTTTTCAGGTAGGTAAACTTTTCTTTACTGCAGAGAGCCTAATTGTTGTGAATAGCAGTCTCATACTGACTCCAAAACTCCTGCCATAAACTTACGTCTCCGTTGAATTTCTCAATCATAAGTTTCGGCAGTCGTACGGTCGGGTTGCTGCGCTGAGAGCCAGCGGTGCTTGCGCTAACGTCACTTAGCCGAGCAGGTCGGGGATCCTCTTTACTCACAGTCTCCTGTGCACGGATTACTTGGTGAGCCCGTGCGTTCATCTCGATGATACGGTCTCTGTATTCCTCTGCGAGTTCAATCTCCGCATCCATGGCGTCCAGCGGCGTGTATTCCTCCGCTATGCGGTCCAGCTCGCGCAAACTGTCCTCTTTCGCCGACAACACGGCTAACATCTCTCGCACACGGTTAATGTCCGGGTCTTCCTTTGATACTTCACCGTCAATCTGGTTCAGCACCTTCGTTGTGGAACTCCGTATTGTCCGCCGCTTCCGTTTCGCTCTTTNACCGCTAGATGTCGCTAAAAGTTACACACTGTAGCTTTAATAAATGTGTAACCAGTCCGGCCCCTCGGTTTGTAGAAAATTTGTTTTTTTGGCCCTCAGTGTAGTTGACTTTGACATCCCTGCTCTAGAGGTACACAGAAGCCTCTATAGGGGTAAAGAACTACTTTGCCATACACTGTTGTGACTTTCATCATTATTGTCCTTTCAGACTGAAAGCTTTCGTTTGTAAAAAGACTGTTTTACCACGTTTCCTGCATGGTTGATGTTCTGGTGCCGCTGTAAATGGGCTGGCTTGCTATTTGCCAGGATTTCTCTGAAAAAAGAAGAAGGGGGGCTTCGGCGGGTCTGCAGAAGTAGAGGTGAATCCATAAAAACTATAATCTTCACTGTACCCCCGAGGATTAGATTTGGTCCCTTTTTTTTTCCTTTCTTGGACTCCCCTGAACCCTCTGCTGAATCCACAGGAAAAGGACATTTTAGCCATTTATACATGACTGCAGCTGCTTTGGTGACCTGTGACTGTACCTGTCTCTTCTCCCTCTCCAGAGCTTAGTGCAGGTGCATAACACTGATACCATGTCATGCAGATGTTGACTGTAACATTTTTTTTAAAAATCTTCTTGACTTTATTTTGTATGTGGGACCTTACACAACAAAACACATCCCAGTCCTATTTAATTATATGGGAAATAAAATATTAAATTTTTTTTATCACTGTCTTTTTAGTGAAATTTTCTTTTTCTTTTGTACTTACAGTTTGTAAATAGAGGGATGTTTCCAACACAGACATAACATAGTATAAAGATAAATACATAAATAAATAAATAAAGTAATCCCATTTAGCCCACCCAGGTCACTACCCAGTAGGTCCACACACTACATTCATACCCATAAACAAGTTTTGAAATGAGTCAAGAAAGGGCCTCCATGTTTCTTCAAATTTACCAGTTGAGTGTTGAAGAGAACATCTAATTTGTTCCAGTTTCAGGCACGACATGAGGTCATATAACCACTGCTTGTGAGTTGGAGTTGGCAGTCTTAAACTTTTAGTTTTTCGGCACC